TATTTTATTCAGTTTGTCTCTATTCCTTTTCTATGCTTTCTTTCTTCTTACTGTATTGCTGTTGATTTGTTTGCTATCCAATTCCTGCCTAAGCCAAAAACCTGTAAAACACTCTTCCTCTCTTCCCTCTCTCAAGTACAAATGAAACACTAAAATGTTGTGTACTTTACTTGTTCTGAAAAAGCATGCTGGAAAATGATGAGAATAGAAAAAATATTATGCTTGCAAATATGGTTTAAACTGCATACTCTCTTTGTCTCTTGCATTTGTACAGTAGAGGAGCCTATTTTTTGGCCTCTTCCCACATGCTTTGGGTAGTTAACGTTGCATTTGGCTTTTGTGTAACTTGAATTGGTTACTTTGGGTTACTTGCATATGTTGTTTGCTATGTTTTGACAATGCAGCTTTGACAAAAAATGAATTTGTGTAATTGTTTTGAATTATGCAGTTTTACTTTGAAAAATGCAATTTTGACAAAAAATGAATTTGTGCATGTTTTTAAATTGTGCATTCATTTTTATCTATAAAAATTCATCCCTTTTTGTGAACCGGGAGAAATCCCGTGATTTGCAAAAAGGGTAAAACTGATTCCAGCCGTTTGCTTTTAATGATGAACGCTTAAAATTAATTTTCTGCTTTTCATTATTTATTTATTTCTGACTTTTTTCTTTTAATTCTTTGCAGGTAAAAATCAAATGAGCATTGGATAGAAGATGAAGATTTAGAATCTTAGAAAAATAGTTTTTTATTTTACTTTAAACTGTTTATGTAATTGTCATTATAAATACTTTGTACAATAGTATTTAAACAACAATTGTAATAATTAGAATAAAGCTGAATAAAAATTCTATTATTTACCAATTAATTCTTTTTCTTTCCAATTATTTATTTCATCATTTATAATTCTTTAAATTATGTAATAATTTAAAATCAAATCCAATTATTTAAATTTAGAATGATAAATAATTAAATAAACCTCATTAACCAATTAACTTCTCTCCAATTAATTATTTCATTATTTATAATTCTTCCAAATTATAATAACTGAAAATAAAATTTCAATTATTTAAACCTAGAATAATAAATAATTAAATAACATTGTTTGATCGATTAATAAACTCTTTTCAAATATTTATTTTATTATTTATAAATCTTTAAATTATATAATAACTGAAAATAAATTCCAATTATTTAAATTTAAGATAATAAATAATTAATAAACATTGTCTGCATTGATCGATTAATAAACTTAGCTTTCAAAAAATAGACAGCTCTCGACTTGAAAAAGTTATGAACTTTAAAATCAATAGATCAACACGCTTGCAATGTAATGATGCAGATGGGAGATAATATCTTAGGTCAAAATTTGGGGTACAACACATAGTGTTACGCTTTAATCCCTAACTTTTTCCTGGACCGCCCTTTCGGGTTTTCAGTCCACCGGGATACCCCTTTTTGCCCAAGCCGCCTTTTCAGGTTTTCGACTTGCCAGGTGTACAGACTTTTTATTTTCATCCCTTATTTTTGCCCGAACCCTTTTGGTTCGCCGGGAAGCCCTTATTTTTGCCTAGGCCAGTCGACCTAGTGGGTCTTTAATTATGCGTAGTATCTTTCCACTATGTCTGCATTGACAGGGTGAGGAAGGTCGTCACCATCCATGGTGGTTAGAATCATGGCTCCTCCTGAGAAAATGTTCTTAACCACAAATGGCCCTTCGTACGTAGGGGTCCATTATCCCCTGGGATCACCTTGAGGTAATATGATGCGCTTGATGACTAGATCCCCGACTTGATATTCTTGTCGTCTAACCTTTTTGTTAAATTCCTTGATCATCCGTTTTTGATACATCTGACCATGACAAATAGCAGTAAGTCTCTTTTCGTCGATTAAGTTCAGTTGATCGAGTCGGGTCTGGATCCAGTCATCTTTGCTCAAACCTGCATCCTTCATAATTGTTGTACCCCAATTTTTGACCTAAGATCCCATTTTTATTTTTGCATAAGTCAAGGTCACGAAATACGGTCGGTTTTAACGTCTCACCTTCGAGCTTTGACTATGCGAAGATTGTCAAGTGTTTTGAACATTTTTAGCATATGTATCACTAATTTCTAATCGCATACAAAGGTGTATGTTCATGTTTTCTTTTGTGTCATGTGCAGAGACAGGTCTGAGCATCAGGTGTCGCGCCTCAATTAAGGTTTTGAGTCTCCCAAGCCAAAAGTACGGTTGATTATGGATTCTCGAAGACTGATTCATCAAGGCACAACTGTCGCACCCCATTTTTCGCCCCTTCACTTTTTTTCGACTGGTGCATATTTTGTCGTTAATTTGAAAAATCGATCATTTTGCATACTTTCTTGTTTTATTCATCATTCTAATTTCTATTTAAAAAGAATTAAAATAGTTTATCATTTGTATTTTTCTATCATATTTCTAATGAATTTGTTTTAGTTCAAAAATCTGTCTTATTATTTTTTTTTCTTCTTATTTTAATCTATTTCTATTTATTTTAGATATTACTAACTATTTTCTCTTTTTCTCATTATTGTTATTATTATTAGTATCTTTATTGCATTTTATTATTTCATCTTTTATTGTTACTAATTATTTTTATTTTGTTCTCATTATTGTTATTATCATTGTTGCATTTTATTATTCTTAGTTTATTTATTGTTACTAATACTTTTTTTCTTTTTCTTATATTATTGTTACTATTATGTTATTATTTGTTTGTTTTTGTCAAAAATAGAGAAAGAAAATTACAAAGTAATTCCATTACCATATCATTCACTACTCTTCAAAGTGTAGGTTTCAAGTGCCTAAAATACAAAGTCTCAAGATCTAACTATTCATCATCCATTATTCAAACCATTCAACTTTCAAGACAATGTTCAAAATTCAAATGTCAAGTTCAAATGCCATTCAAAGTTGCAAATGTTTTTCAAGAGAGGTTCGAATACAAGGGACAAAAGTTCCATCCAATTTATAATGCTTACAATTTGGAATTATGGAAATTTTGAATTCAAATATAACAAGTTACAAATTCTAAACCATGTTTCACTAAAAGTTGTCATTTCACTCAAACACTCAATGTCATAATAAAAGTTACAAATTCAATCATCAAATGATCAAATACATCAATTCAAAACTACCAAGTCCTATTTATAAATGACATCAAGCTCCCAAAACTCATCCAAACCTTGCTTCAATTTTCATCCAAATCTGTCCACCAAAACAACAAAATGTATGAAAACAAAATCAGTCCAATTTCAAAAGAAAAAGAGAGGGAAGACACATGTATTGTTACATGGTAAAATCATAAAAATACAAAATAGAAAGGGACCTTTCCAATGATACTACACTCCAAATTCTGCTACTGCAGTATGCCCAAAATCATCCATGCTGCAATGCTGCAAAAAACTGCATAATAATGCCAAAAAACTAGTTCTGCTATGTTGTCCCAATCTTGCACAAGTAAGGAAAGCTTTAGCCTACACCAAAAAAAAGTAATAAAATAGTTATAACAAAACCAACTTTCACAACCATTTTCCCCCCAAAATTTCATTATGTTCTCTCTATAAAACTTAGACTTGGTTAACAAAAAAAAGGGGGAGGAGAAAAATTAACAGAAAAAATATCACCCAAAAATACTACCAACTAGTTGTTCAAGCACTCAAAAATTCCACAGAAAAAAACATACCAGAAAATTGGTTTCCATACCTCTAAACACTCTTCATTCTCAATATAAAAACCTTCTCCCACAACCTTAATCATATCCTACTGCAGCAACCTTTGAAAAACATAAGTAATCAACATTTCTATACATAAGGGAAAGCAAGAAAGAGTTTGAACTTACCTCTTTTTTTGGAACTCCATCGGGAAGACCCCGATAGGTATCATCTTTTCCATCATTCTGCATAATCTCTTTCTGTACATCAGTTCTTGTTTGCTTGCTGATTTTCTTTTCTATTATTGCTATCGTCTGTTTGCATCTGAACTAAATCATGAGCCTGTGAGTTTATAAGTTATTGTTATTACTTTCTATCGCGAATTCGTGAAAACTTGATTTCTGTTGTGATTGTTGTATAGAATATTGAACATGGAAAGGATGTAAACTTGTGAACCCGAGTGATGCAGATCATAAACTGCCTTTTCAGTTGTCGGTCAGAACCGCGAATCCAAAGGAACCATGATACAGGAGTGCCTTACCGTATGTTGCCTTGCATTTGTTATGCCTCCATCGTTTATATCTGAAACAAAGAGACACACAAAAGATACATAGAGTTAAAACATTATAAAAAACAGTGACCTCTAACACAACTTTCATAACAACATAAAAACTCACTCACTCATCACTGTTTCGAAAATGGGAGAAACTCTCACTTCAATTTCTCCCCCACTTGTTTCCTCCATCTTCTTCCTTTTCATCTTTTCACACGTTCTTTCTGCAGAAAATGAACTTCCCGAAACCTTCATCTTCCGCGTTAATTCTTACTCCAAACCCTCACTTCCCCCCATTTCTTCTTATCGCCGCCTCTTTTCCGGCACACGTCGTCCCTCTGCAACCAAGACAGAGACAAAGCGATTCATCACTGCAAACAACCGTGACGGAAAACCAAAAGTACAGAATCACAGATCTGAGAAAATTTCAAGTCATAAGGAAAACTCACCTCAGAGCAACGAAAATACACACAACAACAACGCAATAACAAAGAAGAAGAAGAGAGAAATCGTTGACGCTATAGAGCCACCGCACGCCTTCTTCCTCTTCTCTTCGCAGTAACTCCAATCTCCTTCACTCTTATTCCGCCTTCCTCCCTAATTTCTGCTTCCGTTTTTCCACGTTTGAACCCAGCCGTCAATTCCAGTTCCGCCAGCAACGAGCCCTATGTTATGCTCCGTAAACCTCTACACCTTCCAGCAACCACCATAAACCTCTCTGTCAACCGATCCCTCCGCCTGTCTCCGTGAACCGTCTGACGTTACCCTTCATCTCTCTCTCACTGTAAATCCCTTCTTCTCTTCCGCTCCGCAACCCAAATTCCATCTCTATCTTCGGACACACAGATAACTATCCGTTTTCCCATTTCAATCTCGCCGCTCCCAATATCTCCAATCTCCGATCCAATCTCGCTCAGAAAATTCCAACAATGGGTGGCGCTCACAGTCGCGACGAACTTCTCGACAGCTCTGACTCAGAATACGAATAAAGTGAAAACGAAAATGAAGCAAGTTACGAAGATGCAAACGAAGGAAGTTCAGAGGGAAGAGTCAAAATTCCATCGTTAATCGATGATGTTGACGCTAAACTCAAAGCGCTCAAGCTTAAATACTCTTCTAAGAACCCAAACCCCAACCCTGTTCCGCGATTTCCAGCACCGTAAACATCACCAACAGTACCGTCCTCGATAACCTCGCCTCCTTCCTCTCTCCTTTTCAGTTCGAGATTTCCTACGAGTGCTTAGCCGCTCTCAAAGATGATTTGGAATGGAAGCTCATTTACGTTGGATCTATTGAAGATGAGACTTATGACCAGTTGTTAGAGAGTATTCTTGTTGATCCTGTCAATGTTGGAAACTATCGATTTGTTTTACAGGAGGATCCGCCCGACCCGGTTCCATTGCAAGTCCATGCCTTTTTTTTGTTTTTTTACTAATTAAACTGTCTTCTTTAAATTGGGCCATTGCCAATCTCCTAGCCCAACTGTTTTTTTATTTTATTTTATCTGTTCTCCTTAACTTGGGCTTGCCATTCCCCCTTTGAGCCCATACGAAATACAAGACGATTCCTTCCGCCCTACACCATCGTTCTATTCAATTTAGATTTGTTTTTTTTTTCTAAGCTATATTTCATTTATTTAGGTTAGTTAGTTTTTAATTAATTATATAATTTTGTTCTTAAATTAGACATTTTGTTTTATTTAGTTTAGTTTGGAGTCAACTTAATATTTTTCTTTAGAATTAGTTATTAAATTTAGAACTTTTTATTAAGCTTATTTAGTAAATTTAGAATTTTATTTAGCTTAGTTAGTAATTTTATAATTTTCATTTAGTTTAGTCAGCAAATTTTAGAATTTTAATTTAGATTTAACTTAATAACCTTAGAATTTTCGACTGTAGCTTAGAGTTAATTTTATATCTCTTTATGTTTAATTATTCCTCCATCATTTCGCATTTATTATTATTCGCTTTGTCATCAATTTTGGTTTATATTTATTCCTTTATGATTTTCCTTTTACATGTTAATAAGTTTTGCGGTATTTTCAGTTTAGTTCATTTTAATTTTTATGGCTTACTTTATTGTTTGTTTGTTTAAATCAAAGGGAAAGAATTAATCAGTTGACTTCATGTCATCAAATATATCTTATACGATTGTGTGAATCCCTTCCTTCGTTTTTGTTTTACTATTTTGTTAATCAAGTTAATTTTTTCTAAAAGACTCCATTTTCAAACTCACACTTTTTTAAGTCAAAACTTCGACACTAGGTCGTCGTATCTTCAAAATCTCGCCAACACTTATTTTTCGCCAAACGAACCATTTTAATCAAACAAACAATTTTAACCAAAAAAACAGATATTTCAAAAGGTTCCTGCGGAGTACCGCAGATGCATTGGGTGCTAATACCTTCCCATTGTATAACCAACCCCCGAACTCTCGATCTCTTTCAAAAACGCATTGTATTTTTATTACTTTTAAGTATTATTTTACATTGCATATTTTAGGGTTTTATTTCGCTCTTTTCCCTTTTCCCTTGGAAATAATAAAGCGCGGTGGCGACTCTTGCTTTTGTGAGTCAAGTTAATTAATAGCTTGATCTCCGATTTTCACCGCTACAATAATCCAAAGAGAGGGTATTTGAACTTCAATGGGCAAGACTGCCTCTATACCGTATACCAAGGAATAAGGTGTTGCCCCTGTTGACATCCGCGCTGAGGTACGGTATCCATGAAGAACAAATGGTAACATCTCGTGCCAATCTTTGTATGTCACCGTCATCTTCTGCACAATCTTCTTGATATTCTTATTAGCCGCTTCAACAACCCCATTCATCTTCGGTAGGTAGGGAGAAGAGTTGTGATGCTGTATCTTGAACTGTTTGTAGAGCTCGGTGATCATCTTATTATTGAGATTTGTACCATTGTCCGTAATGATCCTCTCTGGTACACCATATCGACAGATCAGATTGTGCCAAATAAACTGTGCCACGACGTTCTTGGTCACTGTAGAAAAGGAAGCTGCCTTAACCCACTTCATGAAATAATCAATCGCTACCAAGATGAAACGATGCACGTTGGACGCAGTAGGTCTGATTTCACCAATCATATCGATACCCCACATTGAAAAAGGCCAAGGAGCCGTCAAAACATTCAGAGGAACTAGAGGTATGTGCACCTTATCAGCATAGACTTGGCACTTATGACAGGTCCGTGAATGCTGATAACAATCGGCTTTTATTGTGGACCAATAATATCCTGCCCGAAGGATTTTCTTTGCCATGGTGTGTCCGATGGAATGAGTTCCGAAAGTACCTTCGTGTAGCTCTACCATGATCCTTTCTGCCTCGTTCTTATCCACACACCGCAATAAGGTTTAATCATGGTTAAGCTTGTAAAGAATACCATTACTGATGAAGAACTTTGCAGCGAACCTCCTCAGAAACTTTTTATCGTTAATAGATGCACCCTCGGGGTATTCCTAAGTCTCAATATACCTCTTTACCTCGTGAAACCAGGGTTTACCTGCTACCTCTTTAGTCTCAATGTCACAGCAATGTGCGAGTTCGTCCAACCTTTCAATGGTAATCTGGGGAGCCTCGTTGTCCCACCTGACCTTGAACATAGAAGACATCGTAGCTAGCGCGTCCGCTAACTGATTCTCCTCTCTAGGGAAGTGTTCAAAGGTTATCTCGAAGTGTGGAAGCAACGTGAATACATACTCTTTGTAAGGAATAAGATTTGGGTGCTTCGTATCCCACTCGCCTTTGATCTTACTGATCACGAGAGCAGAATCTCCGAACACACTCAAGAATTAATCCTTAGGTCAATAGCTGCTCGAAGACCCATGGTGCACGCTTCATACTCTGCCATATTGTTGGTGCAGTTGAAACATAGTCTGGCGGTGAATGGAGTATGAGAGCCTTCAGGAGATATGATCAAGGAACCAATGCCATTACCCAAAGCGTTTAAAGCTCCATCAAAGTACATAGACCATCGGGATCCCTCCTCAGGTCCTTCATCCGGTCCAGGTGTTTCACAGTCAGTCACCAACATGATGTTCTCATCTGGGAATTCGAAATTCATAGACTGGTAGTCGTCTACTGCCTGATGTGCCAAATGATCTGCCAACACACTTCCCTTAATTTCCTTTTGGGTCGTGTATTGGATGTCATATTCAGTCAAGATCATTTTCCATCTTGCTATTCTTTCGGACAAGGCAGGCTTCTCGAAGATATACTTGATTGGATCCATCTTTGATATCAATAGAGTAGTGTGAGTCAACATATACTGTCTCAGCCGGCGAGCAGCCCATGCCAAAGCGCAGAAAGTTATCTCAAGCAGTGAGTATCGGGTCTCACAGTCAGTAAACTTTTTGCTAAGGAAGTAAATAACATGCTCTTTTAGGACAGACTCGTCATGCTGCCCCAGCACGTACCCCATTGAATTGTCGAGTACTGTCAAGTATAGGATCAAGGGTCTTCCTTCAACTGGAGACATTAGAATTAGTGGCTCTTGGAGATATTCTTTGATCCATTTGAAAGCGGACTGACATTCATCGTTCCACTTTACCATTTTATCTTTCTTCAGCAGCTTGAAGATTGGCTCACAAGTAGCAGTCAAATGTGAAATGAATCAGACAATGTAATTCAACCATCCCAAAAAGCCTCTGACTACTTTTTCTGTTCGGGGATTTGGCATTTCCTGTATAGCCTTCACCTTTGCAGGATCCACCTGAATACCTTTATCACTAACAACGAAACCTAGCAGCTTACCAGACCTTACTCCAAAGGTGCACTTGTTCGGGTTTAACCTCAGCTTGTACAATTTCAACCTGTAAAATAGCTTCTGAAGATGGTCGAGGTGTTCTTCCTCGGTATGGGACCTTGCAATCATGTCGTCAACATATACCTCAATCTCATGATGAATCATGTCGTGGAACAAAGCAACCATGGCGTGCTGGTACGTTACCCCCAGCATTCTTCAATCCGAAAGGCATGACTTTGTAGCAAAAGGTACCCCACTGCGTAACAAAAGTTGTCTTCTCCATGTCTTCGGGAGCCATCTTAATCTGATTGTAACCGGAAAAACCATCCATAAAGGAGAAGACCTTATGTTGTGTGGTGTTGTCAACCAGAACGTCGATATGAGGCAGAGGGAAATCATCCTTGGGGCTTGCCCTATTCAGATCCCTATAGTCAACACACATTCGAACCTTACCATCTTTATTCGTCACTGGAACCACGTTGGCAAACCACTGCGGGTAAGAAGTAACTGCTAGAAAACCGGTATCAAACTGTTTCATAACCTCAACCTTGATTTTCTCAGACATCTTTGGGCGCATTCCGCGAACTTTTTGCTTCACTGGAGGACAGTCCTCTTTAGTAGGCAAACGGTGAACCACGATATCAATATCCAACCCAGGCATATCTTCATAAGACCAGGCAAAGATCTCAACATAGTCACGCATCATCTGAATTAACCGTTGCTTAACACTAGACTCTAGATTTGCACCGATCTTGACCTCTTTCTTGTCTTCCTCAGTACCCAAATTTATTGTTTCCACTGGCTCTTCATGCCGCTGTATGGCCCTCTCTTCCTGAAGTAACAGTCTAGCAAGTTCCCCAGGAACTTCACAATCATCCTCACCTTCGTCCTCGACTTGGTTGATCGGACTTTTGAAGTCATAATTGGCAGTAGCAGAGTCGGTATCAGTGGGATCTAGAGTGGATGTGGACCTGTATATGTGAGTGTGTGTAAGACAAATAGCTATTTTGATAAAGTGCAAAAATAGAAAGGAAAGACAAGGAGCGCAAAATTTGTAATGCAAGAAAAACTTCCAATGCTTTTATTGATGATATATGGAAATGACACATAATAAGCCCTCAAACAAAACCACAGCGTCTCGGGCAAGGCATCGGGCTGTAAAAGTTTCAATTTGTCTGTTACACATCTCAAAACAAAAGTCTTATAACTGTGTAATAAAAGAAATGGGCACGAAGTCCTTCACCGTCCAATTGCTTAATCCGCCGTTGGTAGTCGGGTAAATCCAGCTGTCAAACTCAGACTCTTCATCATCATCTTCAATTGCATTCACTTCCGGATTACTAATACACAGGGGAGGTCTTCCAATCCGCGCACGCCGAACTTCCCTTTGAGCTTTTGCAGTAAAACCCAAACCAAACTTGTCAGTCTTGTGTGCAAAGTCAGGGAGTTGGCCCCAATTCGCACACCCACCTTTTTCAATAACAGCCCGGGCATCCTTGAGAGAAGACATCTTCATTG